ATACAAATGAGACCTACTCTTATGAGACCTACTGTTGCCCAGTCGTTGAATTTAGTGTCTCTATGGAAAGTTAATGTTTTCGATTTAAATACATTATTAAATTCATTTCTAATTAAACCAAATATCGTGCTATATAAAGTATGTGGCATATGGGGTAGGAAACTTAAAGTATTGCCGATATTATTTTGAAATCGAATGATTCGTTCCGTGGTAATCGGTCTGCAGAGAAATTGGTCTACCTTCTTGCTCATTTTACGATTAAAAGAAGCTAATTAATATAATAATAATAATAATATAACGCACACACTCAACATAGCCCCGCACTAGGGAAACCCTGTGTCGCGGGTGCCATGGACACACACATAGACAACCACAAATTACACCCAAACTCACGAGAGAAATAAATGTAGGTCATACAAATATTTCGCCCGGCCCGGGAATCGAACCTGGGACCTCTGCGTGGCAGTCCGGCAAGGTAACCGTTCGGCCACGGAGGCAGTTAAAATTGGCCACTATGGTCTGATCCTAAGCAATTTATTATTGATTTAGACACTGCGTCCGTGTTACAAAAGATGTTATATATATGTAAAATGAATTCTATTCTATTATCAATACAATTCGAAGAGGAGGCAGTGATGCGAGTTGGTTCTAAGAAAAGATTAATCAAGTTAAAACTTTTAAATAAATTAATTAGTCTTACAAAAGTAGAACAGTTTTCCAACAGGTTTACATTTAAGTCTCCACATATTACTACGTTTTTTTTGGATGGAAAAATCCGCTTTAAACTATCTTCCATAATTAATTCAAATTCGTTAAAATTAGCAGAGGGAGGCCTGTATACACATAAGACGCCAAACTGTTCCAATTCCACACATGAAATCTCAATCCAGGGAAGTACTGCAACCTTACCTATTTTTGCCGTCAAGCAGTAATGTCAGCATTACTGTGTTTCGGTTTTGAAGGGATAAATACGAAATTACAGGCACATGGGACTTGTCAACTTATGTCTCATGATGACGGGCGCAGTGGTCAGGTTTTTTGCGAATTAAAACCCTCGAGTGGCTCTGCAACTGTTACGGACAGGCTTGTAGCCTACCATCAGATGCACGACTTATTCGTCCCGTTACTTGATATTATATAAAAAAAACCTTAACAAATATTCCAACTTTTTCAACCCATCAAAAAAAACATTTTTTTTCAAATTGAAAAATACGCAAAAATAAAAAAGTCTAATGGGGCCAAATCTGATGAATACAGGAGGATGTGGCAATAGTTCGTATCATAATTCGACAAGTTTTGATGTTTATTGCAGATGTGAAACGGAATTCCATCTTCAATAAATATATCGACTTCTACTAACTTTTTTATATTTTCGCGCTTATTTTAAAAAGTAACGTCCATCACTTGCTTAGTAAGGAGTTCCTAATTAAGAAATAAAAATAAATTCCGAAAAAAGTTTTTATTTAACCTTAAACTCACGTATTTATCAAACCGGCCCTTGTAAAAGAGTTTCAAGTTTCATCGCAAGAGAGCGGTATTAAAAGGCTCTAAATGTTCTATTGGCTGAACATTTTTCCCGACTTATATTTTCAAGCATATGGGTATTATGTCTTGGATGCCATTAGATGCTTGAAACTACTTTCGCGCTTTGTAATTGTTGTTTTGTGTTTGGGTTTTCATTACAGCGGGTATTGTCGATTTCACTTCATCTATGCAAACTACTTCAAACAATCTAGTTATGCTTGACCGCACCTAAGGAAATGGAGCGGCGAGGGGAGGGTGTAATACTTCTGCTACGGTTTGTCATTCCGCTTAGTGTTGACATTTCGCTTCTGTGATTACAATTTAATATCCTGCCAAGGAGTGACTAAGTCCATCGAAATCCAACTGCTACGTCGAGGTTTGCGTTGCCAGTTATATGTTAAACTACTTTTTTAGCAGCAGATTTGAATACAGTACTAGAGACGTACATCCGGTGCTGCATATATGATTCCGGTTGATAGTAAAAATTTGCCGTTTACAAGGTTTAAAACTACAGTGAAAAGAAAACTTTTCAAAAGGTCTCTAACATGAAAGGTAACTTAGATGACAAAAATCCATGGCAGTGAACCGTTCAGCTCTTGCAAGTAGTCTCGATATAAGACGTTTGAAATAAATATTGTAAATGATATAATGTATTGTGACAAAGAGTGAGTTTTTTGCTCATCTTTCTCAGGGGAATCAGCCTTACGAATGAGCAGTAGTAATAGTTTAATCAATATGACGATTTGAAGTGTAATTGCTTACCTTTGAATTAAGTTTATTATCTTTGAAAAGATAAAAATCTACTGCCCTACAGCTGTCGTCCCCAATCAACACCATTTAAAGCTCCGTGTAATTTGTAAAAGTCAATCGCTAACACAGAGGCCCTACTTTTGCAATGTCCGAGAAAAACAATTAAATCCCTTGCACTGAACTTCAGTGTACTCGAGCGAAACGGCGGTTATCAGACGTTCCCACTCATTGTCTTCGATAGCCCGAGAATAAAATGGGTTCACTTCGTTCACACTATCGGTCTTTTTATTTGGGTAAGCAGTGAATAGGTTGTCTAGGTTGCTTTATGGACTTCGAGATAAATGGTGAAACTGGTGCTTTGACTTGTCTAGTAGAATGTAATATAAAGAAATACGGTTTTTAAGTACTAGGAGATTGAGCAAAGAAACCAATTCAGAGATATAAATTGATATTTGGACTCGCAATAGACGCGGGACTGACCAAAGAAATTAAAGAAAATTTCTCCTTTATCTATACTTTACTTCATATGTTTACTAAACTGAATCTCAAGTATATTTATAATAGAAATAATTATGTGAATGATATTATTCTTCAAAAGGATTGATTTCAATTAGCTGCCATGAAATGGCGCAAATTAAAGCTCATTCTAAACAGAAAATCGATGAACAGATAAGACTTAAGTAAAATGAACTTAAAAGGACGTCAAGTCTTTATCAAGGGCAAAGATCGGGTCCACAATCAAGCCACAATCTGGGCCAATCTGGACCTTATTTAACTTTGCCTATCAATCATTAGGAGAAAGGCACAATCTTCACGTGAAAATCGTACCGTAAATGGAAATGCAGAAGAATTTACTGGTCGTCTTGCCTATTATGTGTATCCCTTATATACATATTACGTGTTGGATTTGTAAAAATACCTGGCACTTCGCGTACTCAAAGACAACGTAGTAAATTCACCAGGAAGTGCCTGTGGGGGCAATAAAGTTGAATCTCGCTGTTAGCTATATTTCGTCGGAACTTACCTGGAAAAGAATAAAAAATAATAATTAGTCTTTTCATCGACTCGATCGTCGAATAAAAGGAACTGATTTCAATATGCACTTCCTACATTACAATTATTTTAAATAACGAAAAATTAATGTTCATGTCTGAAGTGGACCTTCAAAATTTATAATATAAATATATAATTGTGGCAATTTTGTTTCATATATTTCAATTTTTAACGTACTACACTAAAGCTATACTTATATTAACTTGGGTCGCAAATACACGCATAAAGACTACATGACAGGGGTTTCTTGTTTAAAGCCGGTCATGTCTTTGACTGCCGACCGTGGTTGCTTCAAGTAACCCTCATCCAAAACCAAGTAAACCTTATCCAAAAAAGAGTAGCAATCGTTACCGAAATTTAGCAACCAACTTTGCAATCCAGGTTTCTTGAAAATTGTTTGCTGTTATTGAATATTTTAGATTTGTAAATACACTGTGTGTTTCTCAACTCTCGGCATGTGCTTAGCTATGACGGGCTAATGGCAGAATGTAAGGGAGAGCTATTCTTTAGTCCTCTGTAGCTGTCATAATTTTGTAATGTCGTTTTTTATGTTATTACATAAAGAAAACTAATTTCCATTTTGATTTTGATTGTTATCGAGGATTATGTTTTCACAGAATTCTCACACGCTGAGTCATGAACATGACAGACATGTTTCTATTTTTTTTGGATTCTTTGATTAAAACTTTGTTATATTAGTCAAGGTAGGACTCTGAGCTATCTACACACAGCGCGCAGCCGTGGTCATTTCAACAAGAACCTCAATTCATTTGTTCTTTATTGATATTTGGTTATCATATTTTCTTTAATTGTTTGTGTTTCATCAATCGCGCATTAAGTAAAGCTGTTACTTATATTTGTTTCTCAATGAACAGAAAAAGAAGTAGCTTAGAAAATTGTCCGAGCACGGCACAGACACCGATATTAGTAATGCTTGGATACTGTTAGTCAATCTGGGCTACCCTCTGGTGTGTGATTAGGCATCATATGGAACCCAAAGCTGTGGTTAACTCTAGTTTACACAGAAACAGTTTAGATTGCTAACGGCCTAACGTGAGATAGTGGAACATGGGTCGTTAATGTCTGTATAAAGAAAAGTAGGATAAAGTATTTTATAGATAAAATGTGCATATTAGCATATTTATTAACCATATAACCTGGTTTAAATCGTAGTCCGTCACCAATAGTTGTAGTCTGGCTCAATGCAGGTTAAGGACTTCACATGTCTTCGAAGACTTGGTGATCTTCACGATATTTTTATTCAACAAGCAATAATCAGAAAAATTAAACTGCAGATGATTTTAGACTAATTAGAGTTAGGATTTTTGCTAAGATTTGAACTAAGCATAAATGGCAAACGTTCTTCCAATTAAGTTGTAGCTAAATTGCAAAAAGCTATGTTTGTTTTTAATTCAATATCTTGGTGCCTACAAGATCATCCAATATCTACTCTACGAATTGTACTATAGTTTTTCTCCTGAAAACTTCTTTACTATAGAGTAACTGAGCTACTACATTTCATAAGGTTGCAATCGCAACGTTACAACGATGGCTAGTCTGTTTGTATGACTATCGTCATACTTGTGTGACGCTTGGAATATTCTTCGTATTTGAAGACACCTAATGTCAAACAGCGAATTGATGTTGTCTAATATAACATAACGTACCTAACACAGTCATGGGCACACTCCCGTAGTCGACAGTAGCTGCAGCTGCAAGCAGAGTAGCAAGATCCGTCGTTACTCTCACACAGGCTCACGGAGTCGAATGCACGACCTGGTTCACCTGAGCTTGGCACTGTGTGAGAGCCGCGCCATCTGGAATTATCGTAGTCATTATTAAATATCATAATCTTGCGCTAATGGAAGAAAACGTACACTGACGGACTGGATTTAACATAGGCCTCTAAGGCGTTGGCACAAAGCGGGTTTCTTCGCCTTCATGTGTTGTGTTCCGCTGGGCCCTATTTTAGATCCTCTATTATTTATTTTTTGCGACGAGAGATAGAACTACTTCAAAATGCAAATAACCTCTTCATTATATGTATTTGGGTTGATAATGATAAATGTTATGCGTATATGAGATCAGCATCAGTCTTTAAGTGAATTGCTATGGTCACGAGTCACATAGCTTGCTTTGTGCAACGTCCATGAATGTTTAATGAGCTAACGGTTCGTTTTTACTGGGGCCGGAATTTCAGATGCACAGATAGATACGAATTGCATTGTTCGAGATGTACTTCCTGTATTTTTACCTAGGAAATGCAGCGTTTATAATTCCTGTGAGGAAGAATGAAAGACTACCCGTAACCCATTTCTTACTATACAGGTAGTACTCTTACGCACTATGTACAACGCATCTACGACAAGTCATTTGCTTATATTATACTCGTACTTTAGTAAAGAGACTGTTGTTTTTCGATTTTGTTGGAGTTCAGAAATCGAAGAATATCCTAAATTTCATACGATAACACTATAAGTGACTGTGCTCAAAGATTACGTTAGACTATTAAGTTTTATGTGACGATAGCCTCATTTGAGAAACGTAGATAACATAATATTATAAGCCTTGGTATTGTATTTAAAAAACTGTTTACCCTATTTTTCGAGTGAAACAAAGTCTTACCTAGCACTCTTCGTATCCACATGTTCCACAACAACGTTCCAAGTACGATGTATCAAGTACAAAAGGAACAGTACTCTTGAAGACTCAGCTGAAGGAGGATTTTTCCTCTTCGCTCCCTCCGACCATTTCCGCGAGGTAGCACTGCTCATCCCACTCCCCATTTTGAATTTAGAATCAGTTGGTCATTCTTGTTTTACTCTTCGTAATGGACGGACGTGTGCTGGAAAGAGAGAAATTGTTATTGAATATCACTATGTTTTACTACCGTGACATTTAACTTTTTTTGTGTAATTACTCCACTAGTTTATTATAATTATTAAATACAAAGATCGAATGCGAAAATTATTTCGATCTGGCTGGATTCGATGCAGTGCCGTCAGTATACCGTGCCTGACGCTCTCTCAGCTGAGCTACGGAACAAATCATCGGACCGTACTTACTTACTTACAAATTTTTCTATGTGCTTATTGCAGATCTTTATTTTTAGTTTTTAACTACTTTTTTGTCGTACCGCCATCTGTGAGAAATCTATGAAAGTTTATCTTACACATATTTAATGGTACCTACAAATTTAAAAATTCAAGATGGGTTTCAAATTTTAAAACATAACGGTCATTTAATATAATTTTCACTTGAACTAAATATTCCTAGTCCTATAACTTAATTTTATATAATTATCGTTGGTATGATGTGCACATTTTATAAGTATATTTTTTTAAAAAGCTCTGTTTTATTTAACAATATTTTTTATTGTCAAACTCAGATAATTTACGAGGTATTTACCAGTACCCTTAATTTGCGAACCTCCTTTAGCAGGTTAGGTAGTATATGACAAAAGCATCCTGAATCGAACTTGAATGCGTTTCCGAATATGCTTTAGATCAAATTCACTTCAGTTTAATAATCTATTTAGTTATGTAAACTGACGTTTATAAAATAATGTTATTTAAAATTAGTGTTATAGGATTATTGTTATCAAAAATTAAATTATAGAATGTAAGTTTATAGTAATGAATTATTATAATTATGATAAAAGTTTATATTAAATAAAATCATATTAAATGAGCGTTAGGCTAAAAGTATTTATATAATATATTGCACAACCCCAACAAGGGGCCTTTTTTATAAACAGTAGTAAGAAAAGCTGCAAAGAAGGATAATAAAATTCTTATTTATAAAGGTAAATACTCAGGACGGTAGCCATTTGCCGTTTATTCGTGCTCAATTTAACTTTACACAAATGTTCTGCACTCGGTTTTTTTCCTTACCATGGACAATTTTTCATTAGAAACCTTCGCAATCTATGCACTATTCTTCTTGTTCTTTATCAAAGGCTATACTCGCTTTAAACGCTATAGGCTCATGTTCATATCTCCATGAAAAATGTTTATCGCTAGCGCACTTATTTATATCCAGGATTATAATAAAGTGGATTTATATCTTCACAACCGGCATTATCTGGGTTTTAGGGTTCTTTGGATAAACTTTAAACATTTACATGGCATTATGGAAGTAGTACAGTAAATATGCATAATGTAGAGGAAAAGAAAACGAAATGTAGATTGTTTTTGTTTGTCAACAAAATACCGAAATTGAACTGGAAAAATTGGATGCAAATAGTCCAAGATCGGAAAAATTAATGAGATGAGGAGGTCTATACTAGTTATGCAATAGACATCTCCTTTTGCTTCTACAGCTGCAAAGTTCCGCACACTTTTCAAATTTGTATCCATTTCTGCTTCCGAAACTTGTGTATAATATTTGCGACCGATGAGGTACGGGCGTGGATTACTTGACAGTGGGACCTACGTTTTTTAAATCAATTTCTAATTCTGTTTTCGCAACTTTTGTAACAAAACTTCAATTTAACTGCCTCTGTGGCCGAACGGTTACCATGCCGGACTGCCACGCAGAGGTCCAAGGTTCGATTCCCGGGCTGGGCGAAATATTTGTATGGCCTACATTTCTTTACATTTTTCATTACATTTCTCTCGAGTTTGGGTGTAATTTGTGGTTGTCTATGTGTGTGTCTATGGCTCTCGCGACACAGGGCTTCCCTTGTGCGGGGCTGTGTTGAGTGGGTGCGTTATTATTAAAAAAAATTGGAAGTTTACAATATTCGCGATGGATGAGGTGCGCGCGGATGATCGTTACAGAATTCACGCTTCCACTTCCGCATTTGCTTTCGATTCCGCTAACATTTATTTTTAGCATTTATTTCTGTTATGATACTTCCGTTGCATCACTAGTCTACACTCAACAGTTGGTGACTAAAGACTGATGAAGAAATATTCAGACGTCAGTATTTTAGCAATTATCTGATGTCTAAAGAACCCGTCTATCATTATTAAAATGGCCCTTGCCCAAGCACATTTATTATTTTCCATTCATTTTCACGCTTGACCATATTTATATTGTTGTGGGGGATCACGGCATCCACCGTATTCTTGTTAATTTTGTGTGATTTTACAAACCAGGGTTGTTTGTACATAGGCTTTATTTACAAGTTAGATAAGGTTTTTCAACGTATCACACCGACCAACTGGCAGTGATAAAGTTTGTGACGCACATGTTTTTTTTAATTCAAATTAATCATCAGTATACTACTTATGCTCAGGGCTTATAGAGGCGGCCGCGGAAGCGTTCTGGGCGCGGGAATTTTTGTAATGAACTAGTTCATGTGAACCCTGCCAAATAGTACTTCGTACTTTATACGCGCACTCTATGCAGACAGTGTTTTTTATTAGCGCCGTAAATGCGCGTCATCTACGCGTATACGTCCCGCAGACGTGCTGTAGTCGCGCGTATGTATCGCGCATTTTGTTAAAAGATAGTTTTAATTTTAGTTTTGTTGGTTACTCTCAGTTAGTTTTTTGAAATGAAGCAACTACATGGAATTCTAAGTGTAAACCCATTGGGGTATATAAGCTTCATGCTTGCAACGCGATGTTTACGCGCGTTTGAATAGAGTATACGCGTAGGATAAACCCGGGTTAGATGCTCCACTTTTTGAAAGGGCCTCCCAATTTAAAACTTATTAGTTTGCCATGAATAATTCCTATCGATATAACTAGTTTAATCTTTTACATTACATTAGGACTTCATTTTATTGATCTAACTTCATAGTATACTTCATTTCGTATTTTTGTAGTCTATCAAAACGTTCTGTACAAAAATGTTCACTGTTTGAACAGTGAATAATTTGTCTTTTTGGTACTTTTACTTACTTTTAAACTATGATCATTTACTTGTCTTTTTCAGTAAAATAATGTATTTTTTTATTTTCTTTTCCTAACTTTCTTGGTTTGTCCTTTCGCCTAAGGGCACCTATATCGTGAAAAATCGCGGCGACAATTCTGTTCGATATGGATAGATGCCTTTTTATTATTTTACTAAGCTACATACAAAAGAGCGACTATTGACACCTAGATGCGCAGTTAATGAACCAGTGTATAGTTATAATAAAAATAAAACGGAATTTATTGCAAAGTTTTGCGACAGTAAACACTTGCGCCTGAAATTTTAAACCGTTTGTCGTGTTCGTCGCGGAGATAAACGCATGCACAAGCTAAACGCCTCTATTCCGCACGAAGCCCTGTAGGAACTTTGATGAGTGGTATCTATACTCCTTATTTAGACTAATTATTCTTTGTTGCAATTCGGGGAAGTTAGGTTTTTTTTAAAACGGTGCACCTATCCCACGTTTGATCTTTCTTATTTTTAATAATTATTACAGTTACATTGAATGTATTAAGAAGATAGAAGCAAAATTATTCCTTACATGTAGGTGATGTTTAATGAAAATGTTTTTATGTACTAAAGTACATAGAAACATCATTAACTTTCTAGTCTTAAATTGTAAATACTGGAGATTCATAATATAGTCATTAACGGTTAAGCAAAGGAAATGAAACCGGTTAGAAAGTGGTGTCTTTAGTTCCCTTTACAGATTTCTCAGCAATTGGCGATTTCTAGACTTGTAGCAGTATTTATATAGCCGTCGTACAAGTACAATTAACTCACATATAAAAGAAAGAAGAAAGAAAGAAAAGTAGTTTATTTGGTAAACTTATGACATATATAACAGAATGATAACAAAAACAAAATAAAATAATGTTATGACAAATACAAAATAAAAGAATTACATTCAAAAGTTACCAAAATGGTCACCACTCAGCTTTTTGCAACAAGACTTGTGAAAACACCTTGTTTTCAGTGAAGCCGAATAAATAACAAGTATGATGATGTCGCTTAGTCCAAGCAGAAAAAATAATTAAAAAAGAATAAAAAAAAGAAATAATAAATAAAAAATAACAATAGACTCAAGTGTGAATCAAAACTTAAATGCAAATCAAAAAGTAAAAAAGAATACTACAAAAATGGGTGTACGTGTAGAGTAGATGGAATGTGATAAAATCAAAACTGATTGTGCGTGTATTGTGTTCTCAATGTGTTTGTGGTTGGTATCAAAGCTAGCAGTAAAATGTATGAGGCACAGCACAACTGCCAGTGCTCTTAGACACCTGAGAAAATAATAAATATTTCCTATAATATACATACTTACTCGGTTTTAGGGCCCACTGAAAATCAGCGTCACAGCCTTTTCTCGGTGGTGACAATAGCTGAGTGGGATCTTGTTACATACGCCACAGCCACGCACATGACACTTAATCTAATTGTGTTAAATATTTCATGTTTGCTTTGTTGTTGTGTTGTTTTATTTTTATTCCTTTTTTCCAGTTATTTTTATTTAAATTTTTTGTTTTAATAGCTTCATCTTTTTTTTTATCTTCATTTTATTACTGTGTATATTTTTGTTGTGGCGTAGTACTAATAAAACATTTCTATTCTATTCTATTCTATTCTATAAGCTGCTTTGAAGGAGGCAACAGATTTGCAATTTTTTATTGGTAGTGGAATGTCGTTCCAACATTTCGTGGCAGCAAAACGGAAGCTACCACGAAACGAGGACACATAAGTCGAATCAAGCACTCTGTTGGGAAAACGCTTTTCGAAGAGGTATGAAAGCTCCCGATTTTTAATTACTTCGAAAAGTAAAGTAGCAAGATTCAACTTACGTCGCGCATCCATATTTATATACACTGGCACATGTGTCGGGATATAAAAAAAGTGAGTATATGAAATAACGTTTATATTTAAAGAAATTCAATCCAATTTCGGTAGCCCAACTGTTTATATTGTGAGCGCTGGATGAGGAGG